CATGCATTTCAGCACAGAGAGGAAGACATCCCCTGAAAATAAGCCCTAGTGTGTCTTCTTGAGAAAAAATAAATATAAGACAGTGTCTTATTTTGGGGGAAACATGGTAATAGTATTTGCTCCACAGGATAATTGAAGAACCCAATGAAAGGGCCCTAATAGTTAGCCCTGTTAGGGTAGTTAGCACGCACCAGGCACTGTCCTAAGTGCCTTACACATACTAACTCACAGACTCCTCCTTTGTACAGAACACTGAGGAACAGAAGTACTGGACAAAAAATGGTGCCATTAGGATTTGGATGCAGGTAGTCTTGCCTCAGAGTCCATGTCATTAGCTGTTATGTTGAACTATAATACACGTAAAGTGCTCACCACAGAGGCTGACACCCGGCAAGCACTCTGCAAGCAAGATTGTCTTCTTTTAACAAAAAAAAATTTTAATTTCTTTAGTCTCTGATTGAAACATCATATTTGTCCATATTTATGAGGTACCAGTGATATCTTCTTACGTGTACAGAATGTGTAGTGTAATAATCAAGTCAGGGTCCATAAGATAGCCATCATCTTGAGAACTGATTTTTTTTTTTTATTTAAAATTTTTAGAGACAAGAGTCTCCCTCTGTAGCTCTGGGTAGAGTGCCATGGTGGCAGGTTAGCTTGCAGCAATCTCAAACTCTTGGGCTTAAGCAAGCCTCTTGCCTTAGCCTCCCAAATAGCTGGGACTACAGCTGCCCACCAAGGAATTGATCATTTCTATGTGTTGAGAACATTTCAAGTCTATACTTCCTTTTTTTTTTTTTAGAGACAGGGTCTCACGCTGCCACCTAGGCTAGAGTTCAGGGGCACAATCACAGCTAGCTCATTACAGCCTTGAACTCCTGGGCTCAAGTGATCTTTCTGCCTCACTCTCCTGAGTAACCATAACTAACTATAGGTGTAAGCTACCATGCCCAGCTACTTTTTTATATTTTTTGTAGAGATGGCAGGGGGGTCTCAAAATATTGCCCAGGGTGGTCTCAAACTCCTGGCCTCAAACAATCCTCCTATATCAGCCTTATAAAGTGCTAGGATTATAGGTGTGAGCCACTGTGCCTGGCCTACTTCTAGGTATTTTGAGGTATACCATACATTGTTAACTGTAGTGACCCTACTCTGCTATGGAGCGTTACAACTTCCTCCTTCTATCTAACAATAAGTTTGTACCCTCTAACCCACCTCTCTTTACCCTCTCCCCACACTCCTCCTCAGACCCTTCCCTACCCCAGTTATCACCATCAATCCAATGCCAGCCTGTGCGTGTTGGCCACCAGATGGCGCTCTGGGTGGGGCTAAATTTCCTTCTTCAGAGCATTCTAGGGACTCCAGCCACTACAGTCTGGGAAAGGCCTCCTATCCACCAGCCTACCAAGGGGTCCCTGCAAGGTCATTACAGCCTAGCAACTCCCTGCAGCCCAGGCAGAGCAGCCAGCAGCTGGTGGCCAGGGTGTTACATGTGTGGAGAAATAAGAAGGACAAAGAATGGCAGAAAGGAGACCTGTTTTCCAGGCCTGAGTGTCGCTAAACAAATAGCTGTGTGACCTTCGGTAAGTAACACAGCCTGACCTACTGGTACTGTTTCTTCATCTGTTAAATGAGGAAGGTGGGTCATATGGTCTCTAAGCCAAAGATGCTGCTGACCCAGAACAGAATTGGGCCCGGGCAGGCTAAACTGCCCTGCCTGGCCTCAGCACTGAGGTGCTCAGGAGCATGTCTGCTGTGACCCTCCCTACTCACCTCACTGGCTTGGAAATTTGACTCCGAAATTTCCCAAACTCTCCAGGGGCTGTCCATTCCTTTCCAGTCTAGAGGTGTTGTGAGGGAGACAAGAAGAGAAGGAAGGAGAAAAGCAGAAAGCAGGAAGAAAGATGGGAGGTGGAGAATGGGGAGGAAGGAATGAGAAGAAAGGAGTTGGGGGAGGAGAGGAAAGAGAGAAAAGAGGAGGATGAGAACAGGGAGAGAAAAGAGTTAGGGAGTGACCCCGCCCTTGCTACAGGTCCCAAGCAATCAGCCAGTCCTCTATGTGGGGCCATAGCACCCTCATGAGGAGGGCAGGACCCGAAAGGGCTATAGCTGGGTCCCCACCCAGACAAGACCCTCTGGCATCTATTCCGCCCTCAGACTCTGACTTCTCCCTCCTCCCTGCGCCCCAGTCATCTCTCTGTAGGAGCAAAGAGAAAGATGCCTTGGTCAACCCACGGCAGCACAAAGCAGGGATGAGGGGAAAGACACCTCAGTTACCCCTCCATAGCACAAAGCAGGGATGAGGGGAAAGACACCTCAGTTAC